ATTTAATAGCAAAGTGTTCTATGGTCTGTGTTGTATGAGCACAGCCTGGGCAGTTAGAATCTAAATTTTGTGAAATATGATCCAGATGGTATCCCAATGGTAGTGCTCTGTGTAATAACCGCCAAAAAATATCTTTTTTCTTGTTTTGAATGCATCTCATTTTGACCCAGATTGTTAGTTTCTGTTGTAAACTTTCTGGATTTAGTATTAGAGTAGGAGCTGGTGGTAGCTCTTTGCATAATGCTTCTGTGCAGTTCTTTACTGAGTAGTTGTCGGCTGTAACTTGTTCTATTTTTAGATTTTCTAGAGGCTAGGGCCAATTGTTTACTGTTGCTACTTGGCCTTTAGTTCTGATCCAGCTTTTAGATAAGGTTTCCATCTGTCTGGCCATCCTTTTAGTTTTATATTTTGAGTTGTAAGTGCTGTATTAATTGTTATATTTCTTTTCTTTTGGATATCAGTTTGAATGATGCTTATTTCTGTTTTGGCCTAGAAATGATCGCTTGAGAGGAGTTTAATCCAGATTGAAACTAGTCTTGTGTTTAGCATATCTTTTAGTATTGGAGCCTCTAGCCCTCCATCTTCCTGATTTAGTTGAAAGGTCGAATATCGGGGAAGCATTTTGGACTTGTTTTTGGTCCAATTTGAGATAATTGTATTGATTTCATTAAGTTGTTTTCTACTGGGTGGTAGCAAGTAAGCTAAGTACCAAATCTTGGAGATGAGTAGTGATTTAGCTATCAGAATCTTCTCTTTAAGTGAAAGGTTACGTGCTGAAAGATGGTCTACACTTTTTTTTAATTTTTTTTGTTAATTTTTGCCAGATATTCTTGGAAGGGTTGCCAGTAATATCTGTTTCATATCCCAGAATTGTTAGAGCTTTGTCTGCCTCATGCATCTGTAGTAGCTCTGCTCCTCTTAATTGGATTCTGCGAGCGTTTTCTGTAAGTAGAATTAGAATAGACTTGTGTTTGTTGATCTTGGCATTTGATGCTCTTTCATATTTGTTAATAATGTTTATAAAGCTGTCCCAGTCCGTTATAGAGCTGATTCCAATTGTCAAATTATCTGCGTATGCAGCTAGTTTGAAGTCTTGGTTGTTAATATGGATGCCTCGCAAATTTTGTTGTAAAGCTATTAAAAGTGGGTTAAAAGCTAGTATATATAGCAGCAGAGAAAGTGGGTCTCCTTGCCTAACTCCTCGTTCTACCTTAAAGGGCTCTGAAATATGGCCATTTGCTGTAATATGTGCTTGCTGAGTAGAAAAAAGAGTGTTGACAATTTTTGTAAACTTTGGGTCAAAGCTCATTTTTTGGAGGACCATTTGTAGATATGAGTGATTAACTCTATCAAATGCTTTTTGTTGATCAAGTAGCAAGAGCCAGTATTGTTTAGATTGATCTGTCTGGTTTCTTAGCACAGTCAAAATATCCAGAGCAGTATCCATAATGGATCTCCGCCTAATGAAAGCTTGTTGTTCTGGGCCAATAAGTTGATTGCAGATTGGATTAATGCGATTAGCCATAATTTTCATGAAAATTTTGGCATCACTGTTTACAAGTGAGATAGGCCTCCAGTTGTTAATATCTTCTAGGTTGTCAGATTTTTTGGAATCAGTGTAATTATGCTCTTGTTCCAGGAGTTAGGCATGTTGCCTGAGCTAAGGATGTAATTAAAGAGTTTTGCTAGAAAAGGAAGAAGTTCCTCTTTGGTATCTTTGTAAAACTTGTAGGTAAGACTATCTGATTCAGATGCTTTGTTGCAGGGCAGTGCATTTATTATGCTACCTATTTCTTCTTCGCTTATTGGTTTGGTTAGATGTATATTTTGTTCTTCTGTAACCTTTGGAAGATTTTGTGTTAGTTCGCTTGCTGCCTCTTGGTTGAAATCTTCTACTTTGTATATTTCCTGATAAGAGGTTCTTATATATTTGAGGATCTCAAGTAGCTCATCTGGATTTGTACTGTTAGGATCTTGTATTTTGGAGCTACTTGTCGTTGTATGTTTGGATTTGTAGAGTGAGAAAAAGTATCTTGTGGACTTTTCTCCCTCTTCAATCCATTTAGCATTGGATCTCATTTGCCACTTTTCTGAAAGGGATACTAATTCTTCTTGAATTTGAGCTTTGGTGTGTTCTGCAAGAAGGTTAAAGTCTCTTTGCTCCGGGTTTATAGCAAGTTTGTTGTTAAAGTTGTTTAACTTCTTATGGAGTTGTTGGATTTTTCTTTTTGGAGAAGGCTTAGGTTTGTAGGCCCGGATTATCTATTGTATTGCACATTTGTAGAGGTCCCAGTCTTGAATATCCTGAATATTCTTGATTATTTCGTTTAGTTCTGTTTTTATTTCTGGTATAAGCCAGCATTTTCTATCAAACCGCCAGCAAGATATAGTTTTGTGTCTAAACTTGCTTGAAATTTGGCTTTCTACTAATAGGTGGTCTGAATTGCCAAAACGGGTTTGTGTCTCAAAATTAAGACAGCCATAGTTGGTGTCTACAAATATATAGTCTAATCGAGTAGCCATTTTTTGATTGCCTTGTGTATTTTGATAAAATGTTAAAAATGGGCTATCTTTCGAAAAGCTTGCTGTATCTACAAAGTCTTTTAGAAGTTCTAGTAGTAAGTCTCGTGAATTGTCATTTTGTATTGCTGCTTGGCTAATGCGGTTGATCTTAGGATCTAGATTTGTGTTAAAGTCTCCTGCTATTATATTTAATGCATTGGTGTCCAATATTGGAGTCCAGTTGCTAAAGAATCGGGATCTGTCTTCATGGCTTGGTGGAGCATAAATGTTTGTGATAGCATATCAACAGTGTTTGTATATTAGTTTGGTTGAGATTACTCAATCGTTGTGCAAGACTTGTGTTTCAGAGAACTTGATATTAGCTTTTCTGACCAGAATAGCTGTTTTGGAAGTCCAAATTGAGTTGTATCCCCATTGTTGTGAGAGGAATCTTCTTGTTGCTGTGTCTTTGAGATTTGTTTCTTGTAAAAGTATTAAGTCTATTTTGTAAGATTTTAATAAAGTTAATGTTTTTCAGGCCTTTGTGATGTTGTTAAGGCCTTTTATATTTAGTGTGGCAATCTTAATCATGGATTAATGGATGTATGTTAAGCCACACATGTGGTTGTTCTATTAATTAAACGTGAGGAGAAGAAACCCCTTGAGGGTTGTTCTCCTTATCTGCTTTGTTGATTCTAGCAAAAGGAGAATAGCCTTCTTTCTTAGTCTTGTTTTTAAATTTTCCTTTCTTTGAAGTAACTAGAGTGAATTCTCCTTCATTGTTGTTATTCACTTCATTATAAGATATGGTATCTGTTTCCATGTCTGTTGCTCCAGCATTGTTTACAGATACATTTGTAGCTTCTAGTTCATTTTCAGTTGTTTCTATCTCATTTTCTTCTGCAGTTGTATCAGCAGGGTTGAGTTTTTCTACCTGAGATGTTTCTGCTGTAGTTGTTTCTGATGCTGGTTGAAGTGTATTTTGTGTTTCTGTAGTGCTTTCATTGGTATTTTCTAAAATCATTTCTGAGATATATGGGTTTTCTGGGCTGAATTGCATTTGTATTTGGGATTCATTTTGAATCTGGCTCTCAGATGTGAGGTCTTTTTGTTTTCTTTGTTTTTTGTAATCCTTCAATCTTTGTCTAAATTCAATTGAAGCCTTAAGATCTTTGCAGTCCTTCTTAATGTGCCCTGTTTGTTCACAGAATAACAAACTTTTGGAGCCTCTTTCCAGTCTGTCGAGACTTTATGATCACCAACATGTGTGTATCTAGGGAGTCTTTGAGCTAGATTATAGTCTTCTGTAGTTTCGAAGGTAACAATCTATTGATCTGAGCATACTGATGTTCCCTCAAACATAAGTGGTTTGATTGATGCGATAGTGCCTATGTCTTGAAATGCTGTTTTAACCAATTCGTTAATATGCTCCTTTTCTCCCATTGGCATGTTTCTTAGCTTAACTGAGAGGAAAGTGCGTTTGAGGTTTATTGGAATATAACCAAACAGAGTTTGGTTAAAAATACTTATTCCTTCTGATGCGTAGAGCTTTTGTTTGTCTTTGTTAACAAAGACTGTTTCTAGAAAAGTACGTTTTTCTCTTTGCATATACATTTTAGCTGCTAGCAGATCTTCTCCTAGTTTGGTTGCAAGAGCTAAGGATAATGTCGTTTGTAGAGATATTTACAAGATCTTGAATGTTGAAGATGAGTGCGTTTTCATTCTTAGAGAGTATTTTCTGTTTAGGTGCAGCATTTGTAAACATGGCTTTTCCCCCTTTAGTTTGGAGAAAAGATCTGACCACTGTTTGTTACCAGGAGGTTGTTTTCCTAATTGGGTAGGATGCAGTTTACTAGTCTGGGAGCTAGGTCTGTCTTTGGGTTCGAGAACTGTTGTGTGTACATCGTCATGTGCTAACTTCACGTGTTGTTTATCTGTTTGTTTGTTTACTTCTATATGAGACTTTTTACGTGTTTCGTTGTGGTTTTTGTTTAAGCAAGAAGCTTCAAAGCTTTCTTCTTCAAGTTTGTTCTTTTCAGCAGTTTCGCTTTTATCTGCCCAGTTTGTTTTGCTGTTTGTATCTTTGTCTTGAAAGTTGTGTTCTTGTGTATTATTTCCCTCTTGTTGTTTGGAGTTGTTGGCCAACTTTTCTGTACCTGTTGTTAACTTTGATACAAAGTTAAAGGTTTTTTCTTTGAGTTTATTGTTGTCTAGTCTGACTCTCTTGGAAGTTGAGTTACTTATATTTGAAAGTGCAAGTTTTCGTTTCTTGGAGACAAGGGCTAAAGCCCTTCCAGTTGAGTTATAAAAGAACTTTGCTGAGTTTTCTTTAAAAATTTTGTTTTTTCGAATATTTCCGGAAGTGAACCAGAAAGAGTTTTTTCTTTTTTTTGAGAATATCTTTTCTTAGAAACTGGGTTCAGATACTTCAAATGACAGTATAAGCATTATAGCAGGAGACTTTGACACCAACCAGAACCCAGAAACCAATAGAATAAGCCAAGCTCCAGCACAATACGATCACTCCAAAGGTCTCTTAGAAAATCTAACTAAGGACTACATAGACACAGCATTCTTTTCTAAAGAGAGTCCATTTCTTATTTATCACCAAACTACTCAAGAAGGTCAAAGAATGGCAACCTGTTTAGATTATATACTAATCGAAACAAGCTATAGTCATCTATGTACAAACACATGTACATGTTTTGGTAATTCAGATCATCTGCTAGTGAAAACTGAAATCAACCTTAGGCCCAAACATCCAAAAAATCATTATGGAGATTCAATAGAAAGCTTTGGAATTCACATGAATTTAAAGCAGACATTTCTACAGAGCTTCAAAATATTCACGATACTAAAGATTGGGATTGAAACAAATGTATAATCCAATCTATAGCAAAAGCTATTAAAGCTGAACCAGTTGCAGAAAAAAATTATTTTAATAACAAATTAGCAAAAGAAGTTCTGGGTTTTTTGCTAATTTGTTATTAAAATAGTTGAGTCATTTTAAAAAAAACTCTTTCCGGTTCACCTCTGGAAATTTTGGTAAAACAAAATTTCTATACAAAAAAACTTCATTTTTTCTCAAAAA